CACTTAGGATAATTAGACTTATTATTGCTTAAGTTAAAAAACCTCTTTCAGGATCTCACCCCGATCATTTCTTGGTATCTATGTTCATTTTATTGATAGGAAATTAATCATAATACAAAAGGACTTAAGTTCCCAGACTAATAACAATATCTCTGTGTAGGGTTAAAAATTACAAATATACCATATTTGCATTATAAAGAGAATTTTAGAGTGGCATTTGCCTCTGCCCTTACTTACAAAGTACTTTTAATTTCCTCTGTTAGCTCTGAAATCTAAAGCAGCCTCAGTGATGCAAGAAACCATTGCAAACATGGCAAAGCTATGTGCACACATACCCCATTATGTATGTATACTCTCAAACTGCGTGCCTATGAAGGTTGGGTTTTGCAGGGTGCCTGCACTGGGAGGGACATGGTTTCACATTCAATTACTTTTTGTTCACAAGTCTATAAAGGATGATTTTCAGCCAACATTGGTGTCCAGTCTAGTGATTTCTGGGTCTGGAGGGAGCTTGTATCGTATTGAGAGAATAGGACACATGGAAGGTCAGAGTGTCCAGCTACTCAAAAAAAAACCCACCCAAGCTGCAGCTCACTGGGAAGTCAACATGTTTTATAGCCTTTAGGAATTTACCCACCTCTGGCCATTTGCATAGAAGCTTTGAACTGCTGACAGTAATAAGCAGTTTGCTAAGCTCCTAAAACAAATACGTTTAGAAATTACAGTAAACAAAACGGACTCCCATGGCAGATTAGATTTATGCAGCAAACAGGCTGCACCATAGAGAGGGCTGGATGCACTACTGAATTCACCAAGTCTTTCCTTGTCACTTGGAAAGCCTACTGCAGGGCCCACTCTGTGTGCTGTAGAATCTATAGCAGTGTGTCTAGGCCCTTATTACAAGCTTGCCAGTGGGAATTCTTTGGAGAAGAAGCAAGCAAGAGCCAGCTTGTCTGTCTACCGTATTCACAGCAAGGGGCACTTATTTGCATGATCCCTGGATCGTTGCTGACAAGACCCCTCATGTTAGTAACTGCTCCCTGGCTCCTCTGTCATGCTCCCTACCCCAGTCACCCCTTCTGGGGTGGTGTGGGTGCTAAGGTGCATGGTTGACAGCCCAAATGCAAGTTTGAGGCAACAGCAGCAGTGCATTATGGCGCAGCCTCTCAGATCCCAATAAATCTATGGATTCTCCTAAATACCTTGTCACAAGGAAAAAAGAAGTCAGGCTACTGTGTCAGAGTCCACAAGCTGAAGAGTGTGTGCAGACATGCCAGTGAGGCCAGGAGCATGAATGGGCAAAAATGCATGTGAGCCAGTTACAGAGGATTCTCAAGAGCTGGTGAAACAATTTGCATTGGAACAAATTTTCTATTGGGAAAAGCAGTTTTGCGGAAATCAAAACCCATTCTGGGAAGGTGTCCATTTCACTGACACTTTCCACAGCAAGAAAAATCCACAAATACTTTGATTTTTTTATCTTGATCATATTAAAGTACCTTTATTTTTGTAAGGCAAAGGCATTGTGTTTTGCCATTGTCACACTGATTCATTCTGTCCGTGTCAACTTTTGTAGTATATGAAGATGCATTTGTAATATTAATCTTAATTCCCACTGGTATCTATTGCATATTTTTAAAATACAAGAGCCCAAAAAAAAATATTTTTGTGATATTAAAATAACATGCCATTAATGACACACTTGGATATTACACAAATGAAACATATCAAGAATTCCGAAGTGAATAATGTTAAATTTGTGGTGAGCAGGACATTTCAAAATTCTGACATTTGGTTCCAATTAGGGAATAATGTTTCTTTTTTAATTTTGGAATTTGCAGCAGACCAGAAATTCCAGTTTTCAAGCAGCACTAGCAGCTGCTGGGAGCTGCAATTTCACACACCAACCAGGTGCTTCTGCCCTCAGTTGCTCTCTGCTGTAGAACCAAAGGCTGCTCAGTACCATGAGCATGCACAGCCTTTTAGCAGGAGCCTCTGTTCCATGTATTTGCACAAGGCCCTTCTACCAGCTCTGCTTTGCAAATCCATCCCTCAAGTGTCAGCATCTTTGCTAATCAGAGCTTTGTTCTACCCAGCTTGCATCCTCTTGACATTTATGGTAGGGCAAGACTTGTCTTGGATTTGTCTGATGCTGAGAGAGATAGCATGTTGAAAAATGGTGATATGTCCCTCCTGCTTGGGTTCAATCTCTACAGTCCCTTTTTCTCCATCTGTTTGTTCTGCACATAGTGGTTGGATCATCCCCATCAGGACACACTCTTCCAAATATCTCCGTTAATGTTTAATGGTTGTTTTCTTCGGTGGAGGTTCCTGGCTGCCCATTAAGAAGCAGCCATGTCACATTGTCCAATCTTTAACCTTTGTTTCCACAAAAATCTTTGAAATTTTTAACAGAAGTAGAGCAAAAGATTCAGAACATTCCCCAGAATCACTGAAGGGTTAAAATGAAATAATTCAATCATTAACGGCAGGGCAGAAAAACATCCCTTTGCCTTCATTGGTCCCAAATGTCCATTGCAACAAGGGGAGCAAGTGATAGAAGTCTGATCCCCACCTGGTGGTGGGACTTAGGGCCTGACACAGAAATTATCCTCCTTTTTTGTGAGGAAGCATGGGCAATGGAAATGGCCCTTTCCCCTTGCATGAATACACTGGCTGCTGCTTCTACATACGTATTTGGTTCCATTCAGTTCAACGTGACTGTGGTGGCAAGACACCTGAATAAGGGTTGCTGAGTGTAAGAAAGAAAAAGAGCCCTTGAGAAACTCTTAAGAAACAGGGTTGACCTACCCAGGCTGGGTTACTTGCTCTTTGGGCACTGGACCCTGGTGTCCTTGTTTGTCAGCACTTTCCCTTGGAGCCCAACTGACTGAGGAAGCCCCAGTCTTTCTCCTGTCACCCAGGTCAGTCACAGTTTCTCCTGATCACATTCTAATGAAACATTGTGATAAGTCCAGACCATCATCTTGCCCTTGGGACAGTGGAATAGGCAGTGCCTCTGTCTCTGCCTTTGCTTGGTTACACTAGATGCACAGTTGGTCCTCTGGATTTAAACAGGGCATTGTACCTCTCCCATTTTCCACCTGTAAGCACTGGACACTGTTTCTGCACTTGGTAAGAGTCTGCTTTACTTTTGCCACTGTCAGTGCATTGAGATTACTGGTTGGCTGCTTCAATGTTCTGGACTGGGATAGGGGACAGTCTGGCTTGTTGCTGTTTTGACATTTATAGTACTTCCCAGTGCTTTATGTATTGGAATTTCTGATGCTTTCAGGTCAAATGCCTTTCAGGTTTCATGCTTTGGACACTTGCACAGAGTTGGAATTGCCAAGATACATTTTAGTCCTCCCTCTTTTAAACCCCAGCACTAGCAGGAGAAAGAATCCAACTCCCACCCCAGATATAACCATGCAGTACAGAAGTGAGGCTGCTTTCTTTATACTCTGCTTATGAATGAAAGTATTTGCTCCATCAATGTTCTCCCACTAATACCCAAATGTCCCTGTCCTTCTAGGTGGCATTGCTGCGGGCACATGCAGGAGAACACCTACTCCTGGGAGCTGCCAAGAGGTCGATGGTGTTTAAAGATGTCTTGTTATTAGGTAAATGCTCCTCTCTGCTGTAACACTGATGATTCCCACAATGAAGCACATTCACTGATCCATGAGTTTTCTGTTTCTGGTTTAGAAGAGGAAGGGTACTTTATTTTGCCCTGTCACATTTTTGGTGAATGGCCTATTGGATCGGAATTATCTTACACTTCAGAGAGCCCAACACAGTCCAGGTGTTCAGTCAGTTCTTGACAATGTGTGTAAACTGCATACCCAGTGGGTCCTTGGGGGGATGCATCTGAGCATTCCCTGCCTACCACTCCTGCTTCGAGGCACCAGATCTGGGAATGCAGTGGAAAAGCCACTCTGAAAGAATCCCCAGTGGCCACTTTCAAATACATCAGAGATGACAGTCTCAGGAGGGCTGGGATGGACATTTCCAGAGTGACCTCTCTGTTGTACGTTCCAGGTGGTGTCTGTGCATGGGAGTGAGAGCTCGGACAGACTGGATTGTGGGTATACCCTTAGAGTCCAGGGTCCTCGTTCACATTCATATTTGTGATACCACCTTGCAGTGTTAAAAGGCCCACATCATTAACGAACAAATTAAGGCCCCTTGACACTTCCAGAATGGTACAAAAATGCCTTAGAGTCTATCTTCTTGTTTAAACAGAGATACAACTGTAGCATGTTGTACCTTCAGTCTAGGTAGCCAGAATGAGATGATCAGTTCAGATGTGGGCTTCAGCAATACTAGCAATCAGAGGATATTCCTGGAAAGTTTATTAGAAGTCTTCTGATGTCTCAATGCCAGCAGAAAGCATACAAATAAAAGCTGGGTGGGAAAATGTTATCAACTTTGACATGCTAGCAGCAGACCCAGGGTTCTTGAGGTCTTAATTGGCCTCTTAATTCCAGAGGCCATAATGATGCATCTCCACTTACACACATTTAACCCCAAGCTTAGTACTGGTGTTTGGATATCAATATGTGAAGCCATGGTAAACTTTATAAATCTTGATGAATGTAACGTCTGAGGAGCACATATCCCTTTTACTGCTAGTTTGCATATGAGCAGAGAAGGCCATTGACATATTCTGTTTTTCTAAAGGAAATGACCATATCATCCCGAGGAATTGCCCAGAGCTGGTGGAGGTGAGCCGTGTGGCCATCCGCATCCTCGATGAACTGGTTCTGCCATTCCAGGAGCTTCAGATTGATGACAATGAATACGCCTGCTTGAAAGCCATCATCTTCTTTGACCCAGGTATGAACAAGCCTTCAAGGATTAGCCATCAGAAACAGCCTGCTCTTTCCAAATCTTGCAACAACCAGACAAGGGCAGCCAGTTTCTGTCCTCACTCACATAAGCTAGCAGCTCTAAGGCTGCTCTACCTGATGCAGGGATATGGAATAATAGAAATATAAGTGTTTTCCTCCCCCAAGCTATGTGAAGCATAGAAGCTGGGAGAGATGAGCCCTAGAGAAGAACCATAAGTCTACCACGTCAGGGTGCATGGAGTCAGAGGCCAAGCTGAGCCCAGGGACCATTTCCCAGAACTCCTACAAAACAGCATGCAGCTTCTTGTTTCATGGTTTGTTGTAGACGCCAAAGGGCTGAGCGACCCCACTAAGATCAAGAGGATGCGGTATCAGGTGCAGGTCAGCTTGGAGGATTACATCAATGACCGGCAGTACGACTCGCGGGGCCGGTTCGGCGAGCTGCTTCTCCTACTTCCCACCCTTCAGAGCATCACCTGGCAGATGATAGAGCAGATCCAGTTTGTCAAGCTCTTCGGCATGGCCAAAATCGACAACCTGCTGCAGGAGATGCTGCTGGGGGGTGAGTATCAGCCCTCAGCTTCTACTAGGTAGTTTGCAAATGGTCATTGTCAGTCAGCCTCCAGACTGGCTCTAAGACTTGTGCTCAGATCCACCAGGTCATCTGTCCTCATTCAGAGCCCTGAGCTGGAGTGAGCTGAGCATTTACAGCTTTTTAACATACCATATGCTTGATAATAATAGGCGAGCGGTCCATTCTTTTGAAACCAAATTGGCTTTTTATTTATGCAGCTGTTTACAGAGCCACCCCTGAACTTAGTCCCGTGCACCCAGACTGACTTCCTCCTGCCACCTCTGCACTCCTTCTCCTTGCAATCTGTCCCCCATGGAAACAACTCCACAGCAAAGGTGTTGCTTTCCAGAGGAAATGGTTGCTAAAGGAATAACAATCTGCCTCTCTGACCTCTGCACATTCAAAGTATTAGAGATGCAGGCCAGCTTTTTAACTTGTGCCTCTTCTCCTTCTTATGAGAGTCATGGGAGCAAGGGAAACCAGCATGGTTGGTTAAGAACATGGTCCAGATTTACTACTAGATGTTGAGAAATAATGTAATGATTTATTGGGACATATTGGAGCAAACAGTTGTCCTGCAGCTACTCCTGCATGTAATTCTTCCCCTGTGGCCTGGGAGGACATTGAGCATGATAAAATGCAGAGCAGAATGCAGAGCAGCATAGAAGAACTAGCCAGGCTGGGAAAATCTGACACTAGGGGGTCTTTCCCCTTTGGGATGGGCAAGTGCTTTCCTGCTCTGTCCTGGTGGCAGTCACTGACATGGAAATGGTTTCAGGCTCAACAAATGAAGCACCTCATCCTCATCACCCTTTGCACCCTCACCTGATCCAGGAGAATCTGGGGACGAACGTCATAGTAGCCAACACGATGCCTGCTCACCAGATGCATAATGGGCAGATGTGTGAGTATCCCCAGGAGACCTCACTTGTTTGGAATAAATTGAAATGGGATGACTGGGAACAGTAAAAAAGTATACAGACATTCTAGGGACTTTGTGGATTTAAACAGTTCACGCATCATGATGGTATTCTCAGCTTGTGAAGAGACATTAGTCCAAGATAGGCACACTGTTGATGGGTGTGCTAGATCTTTCTGTGTAGAAATGGCAGACAGGCATGTAAAGGATGGATAGGCTTGATTACAATAGGTTGAGTAACTATGTCAATAAAGACTTCCCCAAGCAGACTGCAACTGTTTTACAACAGCTCTAATTTAATTTGGGAACTGAGGTTCCAAGTCAGTAATGACTGCAATCACTAGAAAGACTCCCAAGAACTTGAGTGATGGTGGCATTAGTTAGTAGGGTCGAAAGGGACCTGAGCAGATCATCAAGTCCGACCCCCTGCCATGTCAGGAAAGAGTACTGGGGTCAAACGACCCCAGCAAGGTGATTGTCAAGCCTTGTCTTAAAGACCCCCAGGGTAGGAGCCAGCACCACTTTGCTTGGAAGTTGGTTCCAGATCCTAGCTGACCTGACAGTGAAGTAGCGCCTCCTGATGTCTAGTCTGAATCTACCCTCTGCCAGCTTGTGACCGTTATTTCTAGTCACTCCTGGTAGTGCTCGGGGGAACAGGGACTCCCCCAGTGCCTGCTGGTCCCCCCTGACTAGTTTGTAACAGGCCACTAGATCCCCCCCTCAGCCTTCTCTTGTGGAGGCTGAACAGGTTCAGGTCCCTGAGCCTCTCCTCACAGGGCCTGCCCTGCTGCCCCCTGATCATGCAAGTGGCCCTCCTCTGGACCCTCTCCATGTTGTCCACATCCACATCCCTCTTGAAGTGCGGGACCCAGAACTGGACACAGTACTCTAGTTGCGGCCTGACCAGTGTCACATTGTGCCCCAATAGATTTGGCCTCACAGCTTCTGTGAAAAACCAGCAGATTTTCTTTGAATGTTGTCTCTGCCTTGACCTCCCGCTCCTCTTCTTATCCCCAAATGCCCCCAAAATGTCATATTGCTGGGTTAGGACCATTGGTTTTGACCTACGAAGCATAACACTCAAATGTGCAAATAACATCTAAACTCAACCAACAAGATGAATGTTCAGAGCACCACAAAAACCAGACAGCCCCCCTGGTCCTGAGTTTTTTATTGCGGATTCCCCCATGAGTCTGACAGCATTTACTTGTGGCTGCCAGTGCTAGCCTGCTGTGCAGATTAAGCCATGGCAAGCACCCAAAGCCTTGAAAAGCCATTTCCCACTGTAGAGCATGTTTCTTGTGTCAATGATAGAAAGACCCAATATAAAACCCCAGACCCAACACCACACTCAAGATTTGGAGGGTCTGGAACCTGGTCCACTGGATCTGAATGTTGTGCCTTGAGTTGGCAGAGTCCTGTTCCCTTTGTCTTTCTAACACAGTTTTTCTTTTTTCAGCAACACCAGAAACTCCCCAGCCTTCCCCACCTGCAGGCTCAGGGTCTGAGCAGTACAAGCTACTCCCTGGGGCCATCGCTACCGTGGCAAAACAGCCGACCTCAATCCCTCAACCCACCATCACGAAACAAGAAGTCATCTAGCATCAGGCAAAAGGAAATCAGTCTGTTTTAGAAAGACTGTGTTGGAGAGAGCCCCTGAATGACTCTGTCACTATGAAAAAAGGAACCATCCATAGATTCCTGGGCACAAGCACACAGACTTGTTTATTGGAACAGCAAAAAGCCGTCTTCATGGGGCTACACAAAGCCTGTGCCAGGAGCCAGCTGAGAATTACATAACTGCAAGTTAAAGCCTCAGTGAAATTCTTATTGCTAATAAGACAGCCTGGATTCCAACCTCAAGCCTGCTGACGGTTGTCTCAAGATCTGCATTGACTGGCTATGAGGTTGCACCTGGCCATTTCTCTACTGCCTTGGAGTTGTTTCAAAGCAAACCCGACTACATTAAAAATGAGTCTCCAGATAAACCCATTGTGTCTGCATGAAAGGAGATGCCTGCTGTCTTTAAAGCTTCCCAAAATAGTTCCAAGCCACAGCCAAAGTTAATGGAGCTAAAAATTCCCTGGAAAGCACAGTCCCAGGACAAGAGGACTGCGCTTTGCATCAGTCACTACTGAAATAACCAATGCCTTACTGCCTTGTCCACATCTACTGCCTTGGGTCAGGGCTAAGGGGTCATTAGAAGATATTTTCAGGGATGACAAAATCCTGTGGTATACCCTTCTGCCTTAAATGCTGGTAAAATGAACCCCATGACTAATGATTACACAAAGCCTGGTCCACATAGTGACTGATGTGGGCTGGGACATCATTGGCCCATTAGGAGTCACTACCAGTTTAGATGTTTCATCTCTTGGAGGGATGCTGTGGTTCATTATCCCAGCACTATGATTTCCTTCCCACAATATTGACTGAAGGGGACAAATGTCACCAAGTTTGCCATTATGTTATGCCAGTATTGTTGCTAAATGGACTGGAATGATGGTGGGGACATGAGGGCTCAGCAGATATTAGGGAATGTCTCAAGGAAGAGGGAGATGAGGGACAGTATTTACTCATCACCCTGAAAGCCTGCACAGACCTCAGTGAGATGACTGGCAGGGAGCAGTGCCAATCCCCGGCATTGCTAGGCCTCTATTGCCACTTACATGGTTAGCATTAAACAGAAACTTCTTCACAGGGGTGAAGTAGAACCTGTACTTAGGTGGGTATGGAGCAAAGAGGCATGAAGAGAAGTGGGGAAGAGTAAGGAGAGAAGGGCCCCAGCCAGAAAGATGATTAGAGCTGTTTCCCCAGTGTTTGAAACCCAGGGCTTTAGTTCAAGCTTGTCTTCAATCCTAAATGATTAAATGTCCAGCAGAATTCACATGCTAAGGGCCAAGGTGACAGATTTTTCACAACAGCCCAAAGATACAGACCATAGATACATGAGGGCAGAAATGAAACCATGGAACCTCAAATTTTTCAGCAAAGTTCTCAAGTGGCCAGAGAGAGATGTTTTATCTTGCAAATGCTCCTCCTAGCTCCGAGCCTGCACCTTCCTATGGAAGCTCCCCCACTTTACCTATTCCTACATTATCTTTTTGCTCACCGAAGCCTGTTGGTGCTGATACCACACTGATTCCTCTCCCCCATGGAAGGGAAAGCCATGCACTGGTTTTAAGGCAGAAACTGGAAAAGGACTTCATCTTCAGAGCATTTCCCTCTTCTGGGAGTTGGCTGCAGGGCTGTGACTGAGAGGTCTGCCAGAGCTCTGGATTCTGGGTAGAGCTCTGCTCTGAAGCCTCCACCCTCCTGTTTGGCAGCACCATGACTGAGGGGAAAAGGACACTTGGAATGGAAAACTTCCATGAGAAAAGACTGGATAGTACATGTACTGCATCTGTTCCCCAGAAACTCCTGAAGATATGCTAGCCATTGCTCTCTACATCAGAACTGCAGTCATCTTCTGGGGAAACACTAGTGCTTGCTGACCCCCCTTCTGCATCTCTCTGGAGTCTTAGCCTTGCAAGAACATGAAGAAGTGGTGGAGCCACAACTGCCAAAAACTCTTGGGACTGATCCCCAGCTGGTGTCCATCAGAGCTACCCCAGCTGAGCCCAGCTGCAGACCTGGCCCCTTGACTGCCAATGCAAAAAGAAACAACTCACCCCTTCAGTGAGGGTGTCAAAGTATTGTGTTGTACATCCAGCCTGGTGTCATTCCGCTGAGTAATTTATTGCAGTGATGAAGCCAATCATTTTCTATAAATTATTCTGTAAATCATGTTGATTATTTATAATCAGGAAATTAACTATGAACAACTTAATAACGAGACTGTCTTTTCCAATTGCAGCCACTTTTTCTGTCAGTAGAGGTAGTTGGTGGGGAAGATTTTTTTGGCGTCTATTTCGTTTGTGCCAGACATCCCCAGTATGGTACATTAATTTTTGCTGGTTACTGCCTTCCAGTGGAAACAGAGAACTATTTCTTCACTAGAGTTTGTATTAATAAAAAAAACCCAGAAATAAATGCAAAAATATTTTCTAACTTTTCCCGGACAGATGGATTTCTTTCTTCTGTGAGGATGAATTTAAAGCCAGGGGACCCAGCTCATTCCTGGCATAAAGCAGGAATGCTTCTTTGTTTCCAGTTACACCAGAGCTGAATTTGCCTCCCCCCCACTCCCCCACCCCCAAAAAAGAAAACAACCGAAAAACAAATGGGCTGTCTGCACCCTGGCCAAATGCCACCTTTTTATTGCAAGCCTCAAAATATTTGGAATGTGTCTTAAAAGCTCCAGGTGCTGGAATGAGAAGATTGCATGAGATTTTCAGCCTTTATTTAAATAAATTGTCAGCTTCTTGCCCTAACAGTTCCAGAGAAAAGTCTTGAAAACATAAAGCAGCTCCAATCTAAAAGCTCACAATCCAGAAAGCAAAGTAAAAGAAGCCAGTTTATCAATATTATTTTAATATCATAACTTTTAAGTCAATCTCCCAGTGTCAGAGCACAGGCAGACGCATGGTTTTGGAGCATGTGGAGATGACGGTTCTGCTGCAGTGACACCGAATGAACCCACTGATGCCAGTGGGTATCGCTGAAGACAGAATTGAGCGTGGGAGGCACAAAAAGGTGATAAAGTGAAAGTTAATTTGTTACCGGTTGTAAAAGTGAAGCAAGGCACTAAAGATTAAGGAGGGCAGTTAAGGACCTGCTCTTCTGATTACAAGAACCCAATCAGGCCTGCTGTAACATGCACAGCAAGATAGTGGGGCCAAGATTTCTGTGGTGATTACAGATTTGGGGTAAGGAAGGCAAACACTGGGGGGGAGACACTGAGCTTTTCAGTTCTAGTCCCCAGGGGACAGTCAGTCATAGCAAACCACTCCTATCAGCAGAGCCGTCCCTGAGGGCAGGGGGCGAATCGGGGCACTTTGGGGGGGCCCCACAGAGCAGGGTGGAGCTGGGTGGAGCGGGATCTCCGAGTCCAGCCTCTCATTACCCCAGGGCGCTGCCACTGCTGATGGCAGCTTCTTCGGGTCTAGGGCCCGTGGGATTGGAACAGAGGCGAGGCCGCGCATGGGCTGATTTGCCCCAGGCCCTGCACCCTGCTCAGGTCAGCTTTGCCTATCAGGGTCAGGTAGCTGCTCCGGGGCTCATGTGAAACTGGTTGGTGTCTGTTTTCTAGTGGGAGATGATCACATACCTCGTCTCTGGACCTGCTTGACTCCTAAGGCTGTTTGTACAGCTGATTCTCTTTAGAAGGATTAAAGGCCGGTAAAACTTTTAAGTAAAAGTGAGACCAAGACACAAAGTCTGTGCAGGACTTCCCCCAAATTTAGGGCTGTTCATACCCCAGGCTTCTACTTTGCCCCATCAAAAAACCAGAGCCCAGACTTGATCTAGGTCTACATCATCATGTCTTCGAGGCTTACAACCCCATCTCTAGCTGGCAAATTGACAGTCCAGGAACCTGAACTCCACTGTGTAATTAGAAATGCCATTCAGCAAAGAAAGGAGCAGGCAATCTTCTTCCTCTGCCACCATCACGTACACACAAGCACCTGCTGTTCAGCTGGCCTCAGTACAAGGAAACAGGTTAGCTACTTGCCTCTAACAATGTGCAGAAAGACAATGACTCCCTCAGTGTGGCCCAGCAACAGTGCAACTCTGCCGTTGGTTTTACCTGGGTATATGTTTAATAACTCCAGGTACAGTATCAAATCTTTGAAGCAATAAAATCTTCTGGAGTCCTTCCCATGAATTGCTCTATCGAGGTTACCCTTTGCCTAGTTAATCTTAAATCAGTGTCCTACCTACACAGGAATTCTCTTTGCTAGTTCAACTTGGGTTGGAAAAGAACCTCACAAACTGTCTCAAACACAATTCCAGCCCCAATCACATCCTCTGTTGTAATATTTCATTGACTTTTTCCCTGCTCAGGAATAGCTTCAGAAGTTTTGGAGAGTCCATAGTAGGACAGTGCTTTATACTATTGGGTTTCCTTCCCATCCATGGGGAGATGACTCCCAGGACCATGGCTGACTTTGCTTTCACCATCAAAAGACCATCCTCGGGAGTGCTACAATGAAGTGTGACAAGCCAGCTCCAGGGACCCAACACACCAAAGTGGGTATAACAGCTTAGTAAAGTACTCAGCACACACCAATAACCATGTCAAAGACAGAGCTTAGGGGGTGTACCCAGCACCCCACTGAGGCACCCACATTATATCTTTTTAGTGTGCAGCACATACTTCTCTAGGGCTCTCCCTAGGAGAGTCTTTGCTGGTGCAAATGCACACTGTGAGGTGGGTGTTGGATGCTGCTGATGAGCATGTTCATTTGTACTCTTCTTTTCTCACCCTACTTTCTAGATTTGGGGTTTTTCCCTAGACAGTCGAAGCAATATGCCACTTCCTTACACCTCACTCCAAGCTGAGGTGTAAGGAAGTGGTATTTTGGTGTCCTGGCTACTGTAAAATCCCTTCTTCTTTTGTTTCTTATGTAACGCTGCTCTGAAATAGCTCATAGGCCCTGGAATTTTTCCCCTCTTCCAAGTGCTTTCATATCTCAGTGGAAAATAGAAGTGGTAACTGAGTTTTATAGCCTGTATATCATCCCTGACAAAAGCAACTATTGCTGCTATTAAACTCGCAAATACACACAAAGCACAGATAGCCATAAAAGCAGGAGGCTGAGGGACAGCTCAGCAACGTGGCACTGCTGAGGCAGGCATTTCCAAGTGCCAGGCTGTGCGGGTCCTTCAAGGCTGATTCCACATATCACAGTTCATTTTGGGGACACTGCCACATACAATGAAGTCCCTTTCCCCCCAGAGAAGTGGAGGGGAGGGCATGATCAAGCATTCATTTAAAATCCTGCTCACCGTTCCTAATTAAGCTGCTTACAAAAGTAAGACCCTATCAATAGTAAGCACAGCAAGAGCCATAAATTACCACCCAAGCCAATAAAACAGCAATAAATTGTCAGCTGACACACGTGGAGTAAACAAGAGTGCAGCTTTGTCAGGCTTTGTATTCACTTTGTTTCACTCAGCAGGACCAGATCCTCAGCTGACATAAAGAAACCTAGGTCTCCTGATACTAAGAAAGCTACACTAGTTTTATGCCAGGATAGACCTGGAAAGACCTAGTTTGGGAAATGAAGGTGATGTGAAAACTAAACTTCCTGAGTTTGCGAGTGGCATTCGTTATGCCATTGGCCTCACTATTTCTGTTCTATTGAGGAGCAGAACTTGCCATGGAGGAATTAGGGGAGGATCTAAAACTACTTAAATGCAACCAAGAGAGTCAAAGTCAAAGATCCTTCTAGCCCTAGCAGTCCAATGAGCTAGGACGCTTGTACACATTACTAGTGCTGTTAAGGCAACACCTCTGCTTGGAGATCATTCTTAGTAAGGGAACATAATGAGCTGGACAGTAACTGCTATTATGCTTATGCTTTTAATGCCCTAGATTTTCTTGAATTCCTACCATAACACATCATGTTTATCAGTGCTTCCTTGTATTTTCAGTTGAAGACTCTCATAAATGGAAAGGAAAAAGCCACAAGGAAGGGCTCTCTCCCCTCCTTTTCTGTAGCCACCGTATCTAGTCTCACAGCATGCACTTCACGAAGAGGAATGAATGAAAAATCCCTGAATGCGTTTTGTATACTTAATTCTCTGCAGCTTTGTCTGGACATACTCCTTTTCACCTTTTAGTTCACACTTCTAGCAGAGTGCCTCATGCACCGTATTCCCGTTTTTGTAATGTCATGCTTTATACTCATCTCAGAAACATTTGTGCAAATCCTTTTAGTAGCAGCAGTAGCAGTAGTAATATTGTATTCCCATTTAATATATACATGTATAATCCACTGGTCAGTGTGTGTTATATGTCCTGCTCTGTGCTAATCTGCA